TTTATGTTTTTACATCAGCAGTTTGGAGACAGGCTACTAAACGCTTTAAACTTTTTGATGCATCATAGAGAAGACATCCTGAACCCTAACCTAAATACAATTCAGCGTCGACATTAAGTGTGTCCTTTAATGGAGACAAATGCCTTTTGGATTCAAGAGAACCCCAACTGCTCGAGCAGAGATTAGCAGCAATTACTGAGCAGGAGAGGACGTTTAAAGTCAAGTCTCGTCACCTATCACTTCATCATCCCGTAAATAACGTCGAGAAAAAGCTTTGCATTCTGCGAGGATTACTAACTTCAAAAAGACCTCTCTGTTGGAGGAGCAGCTTCTTTGTAAATTTGATGGTGTTATATAAACAGGGAAAACCACACAATGGTGTCCTCTTAAGGCTTTGGCTGACAGGGATGCAGAGAGCAAATGAGAGAGGAACTTTGGTTCACTTAACACAAGTCAAACACAACCTCAGTTTAGTAACATGGTTTTTGTGATATTAAAGGCCCCATAGGCAAGTCTTGCTACTTTGCAGCCATCTTTGTAACATCCTCCAGCAGTTATGTCATGTATAGAATCACCAGTCAAATCTGATAAAACCCTCACAATAGGTTTGGTGACTTTGCCCCCAAAATGAGGAATAACCCTCCTGTCAGCCTGCAGTTCAGCCCAGTTAGGCTAAAAAGTCCCTGATAACCGCAGAACTTTTCATTTTTTCAAGACTCTGTTTAGAACGAATAGCCCCAGTTTTTTTTTTTTTTGTTTGTTTTTTTGGCCATTTTGATCAAATACGATTTTAAGCCTAGATTTGATTAACAGCACGTCACAGATGAGTAGTGTGATCGCTGTTGAAAAGCTGCTCCAGCAGTTTCTGTCTGTTGTTACACTTTCTGGCTCTAATAATTGATGCCATTTTGGCATTATGTTTTCAAGATAACATGCAGACCAAAACCTGCCAGCTACAATTGGGGTTTAGACCGTGGACAAGCAGTTCCCCCTACATGTTATACCTGTACTCTGTATGAGGGAACGCAGGGAGATGATTCCGACAGCTTCTTTGGTGTTACATTTGCGTTAAGAGATTTCTATTCAGAGTAATTTACCTGGTGAAAGTGGAGAGATCTCGTAGAAGTTCGTCTACATTAAATGAAGCTTCACTACCCTGAAGCGTTAGTAGATTAGCTCCACCAACACGACTAAAGTTATTTCTTGAAGTAACTAATTATTTATTTATTTTTACATTTGCTGCCTACAGACAATAAAAGAAAACACATAGCTACTTAGCCAGTTCGCTGGTGTTTGCAGCCTGCACTACAGATTGGTAGGTGGTGTCATAGTCCTATGAAGCTGCCTCTGTTGGCTACGCATATATGTTGATGCATAGTGGTGGCATCACGTACTGACCACAATGAAAGCTTTGCTGTGTTTGTCACCTCAGAACTGCTTGGGGAAACTGTACCTTGCATGCTACACTAGTTAATCAATTCAAGAGCTTTGCTACTGAAAATCTATATGTTTTTTGGAGACCAGTGCCATTATCAAGCAATGAAGACAACGCAGAAATGCCAAAACTGCAGTTCCTTGAATGGCCACTTGAGGCTAGCTCCAAAATGAAATCCTACCCCATAGACTCCCATGTTAAAATGCCCTACACTACCACAGAAATAAACACCTTTACAGCCTGGTACAAAAGACAGTTTTGGTCTGTATATTTATGACAACTGAACAGGGGGATGAATTTGTGTAGAACTCACCTATTTTAATTTGTGTTAAAGTTATGCATAACTGGGAGCATGGCTGCTTTGATAACTTCTGTCACAGGACATTCTATTGGCCAGAAACATTGTATGACCCACCTCACCTCCATTCACACACCACTTTTTTGCTTGTTTTCGGACTAGCCTGGGTGTTCATGGGCACTGCCCAGGTGGCAAGGACCGAAGGGTTCGTCCATCTACCACTACCCAACACAGGTGATGTTATTGTTGTCTATACAGCTTTCCTGTCATATATTACTACTTGTGAATTAAGGCATAGTACTTTATCTATAAATTGCAGCCCGACTACAGTGTGATAAATGGTGTATTTTTCTGAGTTATGGCACATATCAGCTTTGGAACACAGTTGTTGTGCTTCTAAATGAGAAATATACCCTCTAAAACTGTCCTTTTTCTGGTCTTTTCCCATAGACGTATTTATTTTCTGTTGATAAAACTGCATATCTCTTATTACCTGGGTATTCTCTTCTTTCACAGCTAACATTCATGTTTGGGGAGCAACTTATAAATCATAAGTTAGCAAGTAATTTCTTCCTCATTATTCAAGTGCACTTTTACATGCACACTGCTGCGATTGGACAGAAGAGCTAGGTTTCACATATGCAACTTTTATCTTTTTGTAGGGGTGACTGCCTTTCTCGAACAGCCCAGACGTCTTGGACTTTATAATTTTAATGGATTCAGTTCACCTGTGTCACGGCTGTAAGCATTAAAAGTAGAATACATAAATCAGCCAGCGGATTCATTGTGAACGTTACAGAAATACATATTAATGTAATGTACAAAATCCCCCTGCGGCATGAGAATGACTTGTTAATATAAAGCTTTGCCAGCATTCAAATTTCACGCTTTACTTAAAATTAAATGACAATTTGAATTTAAACCAGTTTATAAAGAAAAAAATAGCGGCTTCCGGAGGTTGAACGCTCAAGTTGAAGTGAGTCAACTTTCAAATACTTCATCATGAGGTTCTTCCCCAGCAATCAAGGTATCGCCCGGCAGATCCAATTACCCCTGACATTGATCTGGAGATCCATCAAGCCCCTGCACCCCCAGCTGTACAGACAGAAGATCAATCTAGCTGATCGCGTATCTCCGGCCTCGTTGACTGTGAGATAGCCTGAAAGGGGGACTTACAGATGCAAGATTAAAAGGGAGAAAATGGAGGGCAGACGGGAGACACAGGTCAGAAACCCATGTTAAAAGAACCTTGAGCCTTGATTAGGGAAGTGATGAGTGAGAAAATGAAGTCAAAATTGAGTGAAAATGGAGCTGACAGGGAGTGAAATATAAGTAACCATCCCACTCAAATGTATTAGTTTCAGCAGCAAGTCACTTGGAAGATGGATTTTAGTAGCAATTCACTTGCATGTTTTTTTTTTTTTTTCCTTTAGCTTATCCTGCAGTTTTGCGTTTTTACCCATGCTGCGGATTTAAACAAATGCAGACACAAAAGGACACAACCTGAACGACACCTTCTGTGCCACCTCTGAACAGATGTCCTTTCACAGTCTGTGGTTGGGTCCCTGAGGCTGAGAAACACTTAACACCAGAGCGACTATGTTTACTGATTGTTCTGGGTTATCGATTGGCTGGGTCCAAGTTTTCCACGGCACACTTAGAGCAACGGCGATGGAAGTGGGGACTCGAGGGAAGAGGGTCAGAAACCTTTGTACCTTTATAATGAAAAGAACTGATCCAAGAGCACTGAGATATTTGAGGAAAAAAAATATACCTGCGTGATGTGTGATGAGCAACTAATGATTGTGTCTGTTGTGTTCTTGATAGATTAGTAGAGCATCAATACATAACGAATGACTTTATCTGTGATAAAGCAGGGGAAAGCTGCAGATCTATACATTCAAACCAACAAAAGCTGAGTATTTCCACTTGAAAAATGGATTTAAGCAGGATTAACATGATTTAATACAGAAGTTTCATAAAGCTTAAATTAAAAAAAAATCAAGTGTCAATACTTGGGATGCCGATGTAACCTTTTACTACCAGACACACTTAGCCCTAGAGTTCCCATAAGCCAACTTCTCCACCTTGTACATGGCTTGCTGTGAAACCGCACAGTTTCCAATTGGACATTTCAAGCTCAAGCCAAGAAAAACCCAATGACGCCACCATGGCATCACCAGGATTAAACTTCTGGAAAGCTCCCTCCAGGGCCACAAAGACAAACAGTTTTACAGGCTGCATCATACTCAGAGACTACATATGCATAACATCATCACGAGCCGCACGTGTTGGAACCCAAAACGCTGCACCTTACCTGGTGGAAGATCCCTGGACTGAAGAATGTTGTTTAGATGGATGACGATGGAAATGGATGATGAATGTTTGATGGTTCTTGAAATGGAGGTGATTATGTAATGCAGATGATTTCTGAATCCCTGATGAAGAGCACGATAAGAACACAGACATGAGAACATGGAAGTGCATGTACAAAATCCAGTCACTTTCCCACAAAACATATCAGCTTTGGACAAAAAATCAGTTTAAGTCGCTGTAATAAGATGAGAACAGATAACAGTCACATGCTTTTATTCTCATTGAGGTTTTTCATCATCCAGTGAGTAATATAAAGCAGATAAAAGGCTGATTCATGCAGATACAAATGCAATTTTTGTCAAACATTGATTTTATATTACCCTGATGTGTGTGTGTAGCTACGCATCCGTGCCAAAGTAACACAGTTCCCTAACCCTACAAAGTGATGTACATGAGTTGCTGTATTCTCAGAAAATTACAACATTGTGAAAAAACCCGGGGATAAATTAAAAAGTTAAAAAAAAGAAGAAGAAAAAAAAAAACATTCTTTCACAATTCAGTTATGGTGAAAGACGAAACCAAGTGAGGATGGTATGGAAATGATAATGACGGTTAATGATAATGAAGAGAAGGAATACAGTTTTGGCCGTCCACAAGCGCCAACAGGGATCGATATGACAAAAACGAACAGGAACCAAAATTTAAAAAAATCTCATCGGACACCAGCCACAAACCAACCGTCCCTCCTTCCTCCTCCTCCTCCTCATCAGACAGAAAAAAAAACTAAAAACCACAAACATGTCAGACCACAAGACGTACAATACACACAAGGCCAAGTTACAGTAAACCTGTCGCCCTCCCCCTCCCCCCCAAAAAAAGAAAAAAAAAAACACAACACACCAACCCCTCACCCGTCCTCCCCCTCCCCCAACCCCCCCAACATAACCCTACCTGCTTATTTTTGAGGTCAAGCGAGAGCTCATAGTCGGAGGTGGCGGAGTGCGAGCCGGCCCCGTTGCGCTGCACCCTCAAGGGCGAGGCCGTGTGGTGCAGACTGGCCCTCCTCCCCGCGCCACCTCCTTTAGCTCCCCCACCTTCCTCGTCCTCCTCTTCCTCCTGTGCTGCCTCGCCCTCATGCCGCTTGGCCTCCACCTCCTCCTCCTTCTCCACCTCCACCTCCACCTCCTCCTCCTCCTCCTTCTCTCCCTCCCGCTCTCTCTTTGCCTCCACAACTCCTTCTTCTGACTTTTCACTCTCTTCCTCCACCACTGTCTGCTCCTCTCTGCAAGGCGAGGGGGCTTCTTTGGGGGCGTCCGCCTCGCTCGGAGCCTCCGCTTGGGGCTGAGGCTCCGGCTCGCGCTCGGGTTCCGGCTCCGGCTCTGGCTCCGGCTCGGGCTGGGGTTTCGGCTCGGGTTCTGGCTGAGGTTTGACTTCGGGCTGAGTTGGTTGTGGTTGGGGCTCAGACTGGGGCTGTGGTGGCTGAATCTGTGGCTGAGTCTCTTGCTGTTGTTGTTGTTGTTGTTGTTGTTGGGGTTGTGGTTCTGGCTGTGGCTGTGACTGGGCCTCACTCTGCAGCTCCCCCTCTCCTCCCTTCCCTTCCTCCCCCATAGACGAGTCTGGAGAAAGGTCATCGCTGCAGAAAGGAGGAGAAAACGCAGAGTGAGGTTGCTGCTGCATCCGTGGTGAGCTCTGACCTCTTCTCCAGGCTGCCTGGGTTAGTGGTAAGAAGTTGACCCTTTTCTCTCTCTCTCTCTTTTTTCTCTTTTTTTTAGTGTGTATGATCACTCACTCTGCTACCAACTGTGTGCAGGGCCAGTTCATCTGTCTACCTGCTCTGCTATGAATGCTGTTCTTGTCTGTCTAGACACTGACAGACATTGAAAACCAGGAAAATGTACAGCTCACAAAACCACAGTGTACAAGAGTGGAGGGAAAAAAAAAGAAGAAGAAGAAGATCAAGCGATTATTTATTACAGCAGATATCTTCAGAAGAGAAAATGTGGGAAGAAAAAAAACAAGATAGTTGACAGCCAGTAGTGACACACGCCTACACACACAGAGACATGGGGGACAGTCATGCAGCTCGTGTCTCTATGTCTTTAAGTCTATATGTGTGCTCGTATAGGTGTGAATGGCTGTATAAGTGAGTGCCAGTGTGGGAGGTGGTGTAATAACAACAAGAAGTGCACCCTGAAACACAAGAGTGAAGGTGGGAACCTGTGGGAATCCTTCCACCTCCTATTTTTCATTAAGATTTGAAGGCTATATGACATGATTTCAGCGAGGACGGTCTCTTGGTGTGTTTACAGAACCAGAGAACTGGTGTGAAAGTGTGGAAAAAAAAAAACCCACAATCTTTTTATTCCAAATCTTCAAAGACAAGTAAATGTCAGCTGTCTCTGAAATGATCTGATCTGTTCGGGAGCATCTTGATCTAACTGACAGGATCTTTTGAGCAGTTTTTTTTTCTGTTGTAAATTCTTACTTGCCAGTCGATGGCTAAAAGAACATGACTAAGAGTCAGCAGTCACGTTGGCAGATCTGTAAGGCGTCACTTAAGCTGCCAGTATGCTGCGTCGCGAGTGTTTGTCAGACGGTTAAAACGCTTCCAAAGCACACATACACGCACACCTTAAAACTGGGAAGTCCGACATTTTCTGTAACTTTCCAAACGCATTCAACTTCGCAACTGATCGGCTGTGTGGAGGTTAAAAACCGTCGTCCCCGTCGGTTTCTTTTTATTCAGATCAACTATTTCTGTCACTTTAGTGCGTACAAGTGCTATGAAATGCCTTCCAGGACTATCTGAAACTGCTTGAACATGACCACCAGTTTTTAAATCCCACCTTGAAAGCAGCTTTTAATATATTTGCACAGATCTGACATCTGACACCAACTACTTCCTTCAGGAGCTGCAGCTTTGTGTTCATTGTTAATGTCAGAATGTAAATATATAATGGTAACAGGGTGCACACCGGAGTTCACTATGTTCTGCATCTTATCTTAGTGTTAATATGCTAACATTTGCTAATTATAACTGTAGTAAAATTTAAAGATCGGACTGGAGAAAGTCATTAGTTCTGCAAGTATATGGTCGAATATCAAAATATTGGACATAAACGGGACAAAAATGTCTGCACTTAATTTCAAGGCAGACTGTCCAGTAACTGTTGAGGCATTTCACTCAGACCCACAGATATTAACTGCATGGATGCACTAGAGTACTAGTCAGAAAGATATATTAGAACAATTTAATGGAAATCTACCAAATATGAGTTGTGAGTTTTTTTTCTGTTAAAGCTGACAAATCGATGTCTAACTTCTAAATCAATCACAATTCTCACACACAGTTTAAATCCCTCTTATGTTCTGGCCTCAGAATTGTCACAGTTGCTCAGTTTTGCACTGTAAAGGGCATCGTGTTAAGCATCTGCAGGTTTTCCCGAAAGATCATTTTGAATTCATTCCAGGTTCACACACTGGTTGACAGTGGTTTTGATAACAGCTGGGCATGTTATTACCAAGATTAAGATAAGAGGGAGTTTTTTTTTTCCCCCCTCACTTATTGGATATGCTGATAAGACCGGAGTCACGGAGCAGACAATCAGGACATTCGGGCTCCCATATGCACGGAGCTTCAGAAGAAAATTGGTAAGATTTCCCCCAGAGGAAGACGGGGCCTCACAGCAACGACAAACTTTTAGTCTGAAAACTGAAATTCGGTGTATTTGCAGAAATTGCAGAGACAAGCCGAAGCAAGGAGGGGGATGTAATCTCTACATATCTGCCCAGTGCATGTTTGCATTCGTATCTAAAGATTGCTCTCTTATATAAAGGCATATAGTATCACAGGTGTGTTTATCTGTGTATATACAGTGGTGCTTGCTCTTGTAGTGATCCAACTTTCAAACTGCATAATCGTCAACACGGTAACTTGTAAGGAACTAAAGGCCTCTCTCACATTGGCTCATGTTAATATTAATGAATCCACTGAGCAGCAATGGTGTGACTTCCAGGAAAAAGCCACTGCTCTACATAAAGAATATTGTTGCCCATCTGCAGTTTGCCACAGATCCCATGGACAAGACAGAAATGGACAGATAGGACCAAAATAGAACTTTGAGGTTTAAATTAAAAGTGTTATGTTTGGACAAAGGAAAGCAAAGGAACTGTGTCCCATCTGTGAAGCACGGCGGTGGCAGTATCATCGTTGAGCACTTTATTCTAAATTATACCAGCAAATTCAAAAGGAAAAAAAAGTGCTTCCTTCAGCAAGACAACAACCCAAAGCACACAAGCTGTTCTACCAAAGGTTAAACAAGAATAAAGTGAATGTTTAGAAATAACCAAGTCAAAATCCTGACCTTCATCCAGTAGAAATAGAGGACAGTGGAGTGAGATGGAGGAATATTGTGGACTATTTGAGCACTTTGGCAATTTTGTTGCTGTGTCCATTATTGTTGTTGTTGCTATTGTTGTTGCTGATGTTGTGTTGGTGTTGTGTTGTTGTTGCTAGTACAACAATTTCCCTGAGGTTTTTACCAAAGGGAGCAATAAAGTTGTATCTAATCTAATCTAGAAATGTTGTGGAAAGAAGCTGGAGTGAGAAGTTAACGTGAAAAAACTCGCAAACATCCCAGAGTTAAAACTATTCAAGCAGTTTAGCCACTTATACATGAGGAGATATATGATGAGGATAATTTCCCTCAGTAAATAAATGACCAAGTGTTTGCGTCCTTTGTTTATTTGTTTATTTTAATTCATCTTATAGGACATTTGTGAAAACCCGATGATGCTTTTAGTCACATTTATGCAGAAACATGGTCGATTCTAACTTTCAAGCTCCGTTGTATCTGCTTATACCCAGAGTGTATTTGTGCGTCCACAGCTTTAAATGTGAAAAAAAAAAAAAAGATTCAAACAGATTTGTGCGCAGCAAAAAAAAATAAAAATCCCATCTTCCTCCTCTTCCTGCACAGAAGGCTCACTTCTTATTTTCATCACATATGGCAGCACATAAGCTCGAGGAGAACGTCTCCTTAGCAGGGATATAGCTGGGTCTGCTACTTCGAAAATAGAGCTTGTATGAGTAATGAATAATGAATAGAGAAATAAAGTCTGCTGCTTCGACACTCAGCTGCAGGTGAGCTTTTTCTTGTGCGAAAAATAGACCTGCCGGAGAAAAAAACAAAAAAAACAGAAGACTTCTTTTAGGAAGAGAGTGGTTCTGTAGCCTCCGCTTACAATGTTTCCCCTCATTGTTATGAATCTAAATGCAGTCTTTCCTATTTTGCATTTCGCAGGGGCACCTGTTATGGTAAAAGATATAACAACCAATAGATATGTGCAGATGGATTAAAGTCAGATTCTTATAAAGGTGCTAAAAAAAATGGTGGGAAACGTGTTCAAAGGGGATTATTTGTGAAGGTAAAACGAGCAGTCACTGATAATATACTGTATGTGCAAGCGTGGCTATTTATGTTTGGCACATGTGTGCATCAGCGAAGGAATGATTTTAAACAGCTTCGATGACGACTTCACTTTCCTTCAACCTCTAAGTCTGTCACTCACATTCTCTCTGCATATCAGCTTTTCTCATCCTCATCCTGTTCATCCATTTTGTGAAGCTTTCTGTCATCCTCTCTTTCCAACCATCCTCCTCTCCCTCTCACACACACACACACATATATATATGTACAGCCTTCCTGCCACTCTGTCCTCCACCAGGTAAGGAGATTGAGCGGTTCCAGGTGTCAACGTGACTGACGAGGCGGAGACGAGCCCTGGATGCTGCCTGCTCATTTTTCCATACGTCAGTACTGAAGACGGATGAGCACAGTGGCCTCCATGCAGAATATAATTACCGTGTCCCGCTGACGTCCCCCGGCCTCTCGCTCTTTGTCATGACTGTTAACAGGCTGCTACAGTAGAATGACGCAAGTTCACGTCTGCCTGTTGATGATGCGAGCCCTCTGTGTTGTCCGCCATCTGATCAACAACTGACCGACAAAGCAAATGTCCACTCGGCTGCAAACAATCCAAATGACCTCCTGCGCACTTTTGTAAAGTTCAGCTTGTAGAAAACAAAGCGTACATACGAAATTGAATCAGGATGCATGAGAGAATAGTTTTCACTTCGCTTACAGCGGCAGCCTGTGCATTTGTTTTAGTCATATGAGTCACTTTGCCAACCCTATTGCAGGGTTGGGAAACATATTTAGAAGACAGCACATGCTCGTAATCTGCTTACTCAGTGTGACGTTTTGTACTGTTGCGTCATAGAAAAATACACAATTACCACTCCTGCTCTAAGTGAAAGTAAAGCAATATTTTTAGCTAAATGTAATGTGAGTTTGAACGGCATGTTAGCTTTAACAGTTTTACAAACTGCTTTATCAAAAAGAATCATCTGATCTTCAACTTTCTGATGGTCATGGAGCTACTCATGTGTGATGCACTGTTCCGTTAAAAAAATAGACAGAATCTAAGCTTATAATCGGAAAATGTTTATTGAAATCATTTTATTCTCGATTTAAAATTAGACAAAAAATAAATAAATATTTGTACACACCAGATTCTGTAAGAAACAATAAAGTCTGCACTCCACAGCAAAACCACAAAGCCATTAGTAAC